CTTCCAAAATCTGTTTTTGAAAGATACAATACAGAGGCAAATGGCAACACACAACATTAAACAAGAGCAAAAGGAGAGATTGATAGCAACAGTTTTGGTTCACTGGGTACATTGCTGTCCTGTCCTTGAGTTACAACAATGGCAATAAGTGCAGCTCATCAAGGGAGTCACTGAGAACCCTTCCTCACCCTCAGATAATCCCCAAAGCACATGGTCATTTGACTCCACCGGGATCAGTCCATTTGGGAGGGTGCCATTTCCAGGGAAGATTAGGAGAGGATGATGAAATATTTCACTGTTAATAGCTTTATGGAGCTTATCAATTTCAGTGCATAACTTGTATTTTTGAGATTTTGCCATGGAAGGTTGGAAATTTAACCTCACCTTATAGAAACTTTTCAAAGATGATTTAACCTGTGGTTAGATTTGATGCAGAAGCACAGAGGGCTGGGATTAATAGGATGGCCTTGTGTATTTTTATGTGATGGAAGTAATCTAAGAGGAGGATAACATCTTTCATCATGCTGCACTATGTGTTGTGAACTTACGTGACAAGAGCATAAGGGTTAAGAAAGGAAAGTTGGCAATTTTGATCCCATTTCCATCAGCAGATCCTCTTTCAGCAAGAGCCTATGTTTTGCATGTAATGTTCAGCCACCCTTGGATCCTCCTCCTCTTTTGCACTTGCATAGAGAGTGCAATCTGGACAAATGAGATCTGGGAGTCTTGTCTGGGAGTCAGGATGCCCTGAGCAATAAACCAATTGCTGCTACTTACTTGCCATGCTGTCCTGGACAAGTCACTTCACTTCTATGCCTCAGTTTCCCTCATCTAACTGGGAGCTATGTAGAGAGGCCTTATTGTTTGGGGGTGTTGTGAGGATTAATCTGTTAATGTCTGCAGCATCCCATGAACATAAAATGTATTCTTACTATACAGACACTGGCTACAGTCTAGCCCTGCACTCGGGGGTAGAAATAAATCCAGTCTGGTTTTATACTGCAGTGCACCAGTAACCGTGCAAGTGCCTACCCATGCAAATCCATCACCGAGCATTTAAATGCATTTAAATGCTTGTTAAGTATCACAGGGAAATAACTGATTCTAAATGGAGGACTTAGCAGTGCATTATAAGGAACTCAGATACATGCTATTTACCATAGTTTTACGTTGTATGGGTTGAGACATTGTATAAGTTGCCCCTATATTTCTGTAAAAAAAAAGTTAGGATTTTTGTATGTCTGGTGTATACGTCAACCCTGCCTCGGTGTGGAAGATGCTGGAAGCCAGGCAGGCTCGTGGGAGAGGAAGCATGCTGGGAAGTTCCCAGGAAGTTGGATCCGGACCCTGGGAGCATCGGCAGCACATGGCCCAGTGGCAACCCACCCGCCCAGCCCTGGTGGGTGCTGCCAACATGGAGGGAAAGACCAGGCCCCCCCGCAGCTCAGGGGCTGCCCGGCCTGGTGGCATCTTGCCCCCCGGCCGTGGGGCAGGTAGGGAGGTTCTGCCGAAAGCAGGATCAGGCCCTTCGCCGCTTTTGCTTTCCGCAGGTGCCTGCAGCTGGCAGGATGCCCGGTGCTGCCCAGAAAGGGGCTGGCTTTCCCCAGCAGCAGTACGGGGTGTTGCGGGGAAGCTGGCCCTGCCTGACACCCTGTGCTGTCCCTGGGGAAAGCTAGCCCCTTCCTGGCCAGCACCAGGCATCCTGCTGGCCACAGGTGCCTGCTGAAGGCAGAAGGAGTGACGGGCCCGATCCTGCTTTTGGCAGAGCCTCCCTGCCCTGCAGCTGAGGGGCAAGCTTCCGCCAGGCTGGGCAGCCCCTGAGCTGCAAGGTGGCTTAGTCTTTCCCTCCACAGTGGCAGCATCCCCTGTGGCTTGCTGGGCAGGCTGCCAGCAGGCCATGTGCTGCCCAAGCTCCTAGAGAGCTCCCGGGAAGGTCCAAGAAGTACTGCTTGCAGAGCATGGTGTGTAAGTCATGGTTGAATTTTAAGAGTTAAAAATTTGGCTTCAAAACTTGATTTATACACTGTGAAATATGGTATTAGCTTTCACTGTAATTACCCAAGGCCATGTTGTATCCCCCTGAGGAGGATAAGAAGGCCCCGGGAACTGTCATGCTCACTTTACAAAGCTCCTGTCCAAAACTCCCCTTAAGGGCAAAGGTGATTTATGAATAGGGACCTACTTAATTTGTAGTTTTACAGATTTCACAGAAACTGTAAAATCTGGGATTGTCCACAAAATCTGCAAAATCAACAAAAAAGAACCTTAATAAAAATAAAACTCTGGCTCCCCACTGGGATCCAGTGGTCCTTGGTGCCAGAAGGGGATGATGCCGGCTGGCTGAGCAACACAAATGGCAGCAGACAAGATAGCTGCTGCCCCCCTGTCCTCCTTCCTCCGCCCCCTCCCGAGCCTTTTTGCCAATCTGTGCTGAGGGGTGGGGCTGCACAAATAGCAGCCAGCCAGCCAGATAGCAGCCGCCCCCTTGCGCTTCCTCCCCCTGGGACCTCTTTGCCAATCAGCACTGAAGGGCAGAGCTGCACAAGGGGCAGGGCACAAAGGGCAGTCAGCCATCAAAATGATGGCCACACTCCTATCCTTCCTCTCCCTGGGGCCTCTCCACCAATCAGCACTAAGGGATGGAGCCTCTTCACCAATCAGCACCAAGGGCTGCCACAAAATGAGAACTTTAGCCTGCAATCAACCCACGAAAATTGATAAGTCCCCCAGAATTTAGGTAGACCCCTATTTATGAACACAGCAGACCCTTGGGATCCATGAGGAATGGAGACTCCAACCAGCACGCTGTGTGACTGGTCCTTACACAACTGATCACGTAGCACTTATAACTCATTGAGCCTTCAGATGCCTGAGAATATTTCACAGCACAGCACACCACCAAGTTATTTGTGAAACCTGTAGGCAGTCTGTTGTCCTTACACAGTAGAAAACAGCCATGTATCCAGCTGGCTTACATAATTAGACACATTCCCAGCACATAAACACCACTCAAACTCATTTTCAGAAATCATTGGCACCCAGTTACACACAAGACAAGTGGATATTCCAGCCATTCCACCCGCTGCACTTCTACTGGTTAAAGTCCTCAGCAGAACCTCACCCATTTCTCCCCCACACATGCACACAAAGGGTTATGCTACTTCGCATTCAAACCAAAAGTATTCTTGTGTCATGATCAAATTCTGAGAGGGTTGCATGGCACCAGCCAGTATAGTCCTACTTATTACACTGGAGAGTTTACAAGGGCTAGTCCACACCTGTGCAGTATTAATCATGCAAAGTAAAGAATATCCTGTTACCAAGGCAGAATGGAGGCATGCTGAATACTTTGGTAAGAGGCAGCATCTTTCTAAAGCAAGATACTTTGGGGTGGGGAAAAGAGAATTGTCAAACCAAAAGCATCATTTCCACCCAGGGCCAGCCCACCCTATACTGCGAAACCTGCAGCCGCAGGCGGGGGCCCTTGTGTCTGGCCACTCACCACCACTCCCTCACTGCTGCCAGAGGTGGCTTCTTCAGCTGCTCACCACCCCCCACCTCTGCCGCCGACTTCTTCGGCCGCTCGCCATCCCCTCCGCCCCCCACAACCGGCTTCTTCAGGGCAGCGGGCCCCAAAACCATTTCTTGCAGGGAGCACCAAAAAAATGCGGGCCAGCCCTTCTTCCACCCTCCATCCTGTGGGGTTGTTGCTTCTCTCTACCTCCCTACTCAAATGCGCACCATTGAGGTGTGCCCCTAAAGAAATATATATATATATAGAGAGGCATAATTTACTGAGGGCTAGATCCTTTTGGGGAGATCAATGGGAATTTAGCCATTGATTTCAGTGTTATTAGGATCAGTCCCTAACTCTGTGACTGACTCCCAAGTCAGAAAAGTGCGTCTCAGCTGGTGCTTAAAAGGCTCTGGTTTTGGGCACCCCAACTGTCAGCCAGTTGCACATGGTTTCCAAGTGCACTGGCTTTTATCTAGTATGCCAAAGCATATTCTTGACCAGCATATGCTACAACGTATCATAGAAAATTAGGGTTGTAAGGGACCTCAGGAGGTCATCTAGTCCAATTTCCCTGCACAAAGCAGAACCATCCCCAACTAGATCATCCAACCAAGGCTTTGTGCAGCAGGATCTTAAAATCTCCAAGTCTGGAGAGTTCACAACCCCTCGCTGTGTAACTTGTTCTAGTGTTTTACTACCCTCCTAATGAGAAGGTTTTTTCCTAATATCTAACCTAAACTTCCCGTGCTGCAACTTGAGCCCATGGCTCCTTGTTCTGTTATCTACCACCACTGAGAACAGTCCAGCTCCATCCTCTTTGTAATCACCCTGCAGGTAATTGAAGGCTACTATTAAATCCTGTCCCCAGTCTTCTCTTTTCCAAACTAAATACCCAGCTCCCTCAGCCTCTCCTCAGAAGTCATACGCCCCAGCCTCCTAGGTATCTCTGAGTAGTCTGTAAGTTGCAGTACCCTAATTAGCAGCAGTTCCTCTGCATGACAAAAAAGCTCATGGCTTACCTGGTGATGATGGCAAGGTGAGGAGGGCTCATGCAGGCCCCCATGAAGAGCACCACATTCTCATGCCGCGTCTGTCGGTAGGCCATCACTTCCCGCTTGAAGGCCTTCAGCTGGTCTTCGTTGTCCCTCTCAATGTCAATGAGGCGGATGGCCACCTCACCATGCCAACGTCCATGGAACACCTGGCCAAAGCGCCCTTTGCCTATCAGTTCTCCAATTTCCAGCTGCTCAAAGGGGATGTCCCACTCCTGGAGAAAGATGCTGGTCTGGCTGGCCTTGCGTGGGAAGTTGCGAGCGGAGAGGAGAGAGAGGTTCATTTCCTCAAAGTCATCCTCAGACTCCTGGGCCTCCTCATTCCCATCCTCATTCTGCAGGGAGACAAATGTATCTTGCTTGCATTCCTTGGCATGTGCAAGGAACTGGGGTAGAAAAGGAACATTTGCTTCCACTGCTGGTGCATGGAACACACTATAAAACCAGGTGGAGCTTTTCCCACCAACACAATGGTTACGCACAAAGCTGCCTGCCCACTTCTCACAGACCTTCTCTTTGCCAGTGAGAGTGTTTCTGAGACCCAGGCATGGTCAAAACCCCACCCCTGTCTCTTCCCCGTTCTACACCCCCATTCCTCCCTCCTTTAGTTAGATGGCAGATGGCTGATTTGGAAGAGATCAGATGGCAGATTTGGAAAAGACCAAACTGCCAGTGCTGCTCTATTAACCAGATGGCAGGAGAACTGGAAATGAGGCTCGGCTGAGAGGGGGGTTATCTAGTGCTGTAGCATCACTTCTTGGAAGATGCTCTGAGCAAGAGAGTTGGGGGTTAGGATTAAAATGGAACAGACTGAGGCCAGAAAGTTGGCATGAATTAAAGTCTGCCAAAGCTCCACTCTCTACTTGGGCACTGAAATAACCCTAAACATGAGTACATGGACAGTAATTGGAAGTTAGTTTGTAATTGTGTGGATTCAGGTAAACTGAACGATGAGGCTCAGGAACAGAGGAACTGAAATAAATTATATTTGCACCAAGATACCATGGAAACTTGCAAACCAGATGCTAAAGGCAAAAGGTTGAAAAACAACAGTATATTTTAGTTAAATATTTTTTTCTGACATCATAAAAAATTTAGCCACTCTTCACTGAGATTCTCAACTATTACAGCAGTCCCCAGAGCTCAGCAGATTCAAACTCATTCAGAACTATGCTGAATTAGTTCTTCATGGAACGTGCACTGTTTTACTAACTTCCAGATAACCTTGAGTGACCGTGTCCCCTTCCCCATATACGCATAATTACTTTCTCACAGAGTATTTGGAAATATACATACATTATTGGACTGGATTTGCACCAGTATAAACAAAAACAAACTGGCCCACACACAAAAAATCCCCAGGATGAATGAACAGCTAAAAGATCAAATAGAGACACACATTTATTAGGGCAGACAGATATTTGATCTGATTATTCACACGTTATATTGTGAATCTTGCCATTGTTCATTGACAATTTACTCAATGAATAATTTTTCATGGTATTCAATGAGCTCTGGCAGACAAACACATTACTATCCTGGATACATGCAGGGGACCGATAGACTTAAAGCCAAATATGAAGTCCACAACTGCTATCACTACTGCTTCCAAGTGGAAGATGCTCAGAAACTAAAGCAATGGGTACAGCAGTATAAAGCTGAAATAGGTAGACTCAGGAATGTACAAACGATTAGGGAAATGACAGAAATGTATTTCAGGTTGTATCTATGTTATTTTACTAAAGAATCATAGAAAATTAGGGTTGGAAAGGAACTCAGGAGGTCATCTAGTTCAATTCACCTGCTCAAGGCAGGATCATCCCCAACTAGATCATCCCACCCAGGGCTTTGTCTTAAAAACCTCCAAGGATGGAGAGTCCACAATCCCTCACTGTGTAACCTGTTCCAGTGTTTTACTACCCTCCTAATGAGAAAGTTTTTCCTAATATCTAACCTAAACTTCCCTTGCTGCAACATGAGACCATTGCTCCTTGTTTTGTCATCTCTCACCACTGAGAACAGTTTAGCTCCATCCTCTTTGAAACCACCCTTCAGGTAGTTGAAAGCTGCTATTAAATCCCCTCTCAGTCTTCTCTTTTCCAGACTGAGTAAGCCCAGTTCCCTCAGCCTCTCCCCATAAGTCATGTGCCCCAACCCCCTAACCATTTTCATTGCCCTCCACTGGACTTTCTCTAATATGTTTATATGCTTTCTGTAGTGGTGTACAGAAGACTATAGCGGACTGTAGTGGTGGATAGAAGACTATTTGCTGTCCCATTACTGCAACAAGGGGGTGTCACAAATATAGCCACCCCATCCAAGCTGCTGGACTACTGGTGGGTCAGGGAGTTTGGGTGTGGCTAACAGTGGGCATGAACTTCATAGAATCTGGTGCCCCTGGGGACTGGGCAGTCAACTGCAAGGGGGTGAGCAACGGCTGAGCTGATGTAACCCTACTTGCCCTGCAGCTACTTGGCTTGCAGCCATTTGCCCCACTGTTCTGCCACAGTTACTGCAGGTGCTGTGGTTATGACCTTTGACACTGTTGTGGCTGCCACCATGGATCCAGCCTGCATGGAGCCCCACAGTCTGGATATACCCCAAAGTATGGGGTTAGTTTGACACCCCTGCTGTAACACATTTGCTGCCTGGCCTTCCACCTTTACACAGACATGACATCCGCCTTTCCACTAATATGCTATCAAAAGCTTCCACAACTGTCTGTGTCTCTATAACTCAGTCACTGCTGTGACTGCATCTTATGACGACATAACCCAAGACTGATTTAAATTAGCTGATTTGAGGACTACAGCAGCATAAGCATAGCAACATGGAGCACAGAGCTCAGCCTGGGCTAACCATACAAATATTTACCCAACTTCTCAGGTACTTTTAGCATCCCATGCCAATCTTTTGTCCTTTTGTAGCTACACTGCTATGGTCCTGTTCCCCAAGCTCTTCAAACTCAGATACATCACTAAGAACTACAGTCACAGAGTGACTGCACTGTAGATGACCCGGAGCTTAAGATACCAGTGACTGACCTTCCAAACCTGACTCCCCTCTGGCAAGGAAAAGGGGCTTTAAAACCATTAAAACCAACCTAACTGGAAGCAGGATCAGGACCATTCATTAATTCAATTAAATATCACAGTGAAGATGCACATTTTATGCCTACTTCTGTGAACTGCATGCTGATACGTATATAATATAGTGGTCCATTAAGCACAATATTGAAACCAGCTATTTCTATATAATTGTCTTTCATAAGAAATATGGATCATAAAGGTGACAAAATGCCAAAGCACTAGGCCATGGCAGGGTCCTGTTTAATGAACTTCAACTCATCAAGGTTTTCTTTTATTCTATGAAGGAAATAAAAAGCCTACATTGTTATGGTGAGTTTCTTACCTCTGATGTTGGCTCCACTTCAATTTGAAGTAATGGATTTCCTTCAAGGCTGTTACAAAAAATTACCACAGTGTGAAAACAAAGTGACATACAGAACATACGACGTACAGAACGGCTGCACTGTGACATGGGTGTCACATCCTGCTTCCCTCATGATCAGCCTCTACCAAAGCAAAAGAAAATAGCAGCCAGAAACATCAGTCTCAACTTTATTTGGTGACACAGCAATTTCACAGATAGGCTTCAGTGAACCTCATATCTCCCACCCACCTCCTGATAGCTCCTACCTTTTAGGAAAGTTCCAGCCCAAACTCTGAATTTCAACCATACAAGATTATATAGCTAAAGATTATATAACTAAAGCTGCCCCTTCACAGGAAAGCTAGGAAGAGTTGAGATGAAACCCATCTATCTGACATGGGGAAAAAGTATTTTTTGATAGTCAATTTTAGAATGCCTGTGGCCCCATAAAGGCTTCCGGTATAGCTGGAACATAAGCTCTTAATTGTAGTAAGTAAGCAGGACAAAGACACAGATATGTCCTTATATTGTTGGAAATACTTTTTCTGTATCTATGGAACCTATTGTAGAGCCCAATTTATATATCTTTAATGATGCTTCCTCCCTAGGACCTGGGCCTGGACTTTGGCATTGGACTCAGATGATTCATGGATCAATGAAAAACTCAAAGCAGTAGCTAGGCAGAGCTGCCAGGCAGAGGGGTCCCAGGTATTACATTATCATTATTACAGTTACATTATTATAAGCCTTAAGCCAAATCTGCACTCCTTGGTCACATTAACCTTAACCTTACACAAGTCAATTCCCATTGATTCTAGGAGCTTGCCTGAATAAGGATTGAGTAAATTCCAATGTACGTTTTCAAGATTTGGCTCAGCAGAGGCATTTTTTAGGATCATAACCACTTAAGGGCAGGGACCACATTTCTACAGCAACCAAAACAATGGGATCCTTTACTGTTAATAGTAAAGCAATTCATAGTGGAATATATCCAATAACAGCCTGAATAGTTAGTAGTATAAAAGAACTACAGCGCTGAAAGTGGAAATAATGGAAAGTTTTGAGGGTAGGAGAGGAAGCATTGCTTTAGCACAGCCCCAGACGCATCCAAATGCTGTGACCCAGTCCTGCTCATTCAATTTAGTTGCTATTAGAATGCTATAAAGCATTAAATGACTTTCTTATGCAAACCATTGTTGCACACTGCTCAGCTTAAGCTTAGTGAATTACATGCCGTTTCTGATTCAATTTTTCCCTTGTACGTTATGGATTGTCAGTTAATCACCCCGAGTCCTCTAGCACAGATTGCTGTATCAGTTTACATTCAGAGATGAGACTACGTTGTCATCTCCCTGTGCACTCTGTTCTTTAGAAAATCCTCTCTCTTCCACTGCAGGTGTTTTATATTTCAGAAGCCTGATTCATATTTACCTGTCAAATTGCTTTGCATTAGTAGGGCAGTATAAATGGGCCTAAGAAATCCTGAACCAGGTGTTGAGAATATGTTGCAATGCAGGTCTAATGCAGGGAGGTGTTATGAGGAAAAAATGGAAGACAAGAATTGGCCCTCTTGTCATGTAGATGGTATAAATCTGGAGTCACTGCACTCGAGTGTGCCCCTGGACAAACTCTGGTATAATCTACAGTGGTTCACCATATCTACATAAATTACATCAGGATCAAAACAGACAGATGTGAGGCTATCCTATGGTAGCTGACACAGTAAACAGGTATTACTGTACTTTACACCAGTACAGCTTTGCCTTTGATTCTCATAGATGTAATTCTCCAGGTGGCTGGGCAACGTCACACTGGTTCAGGCATCTTCTATCTGTTGCTTTTTTATTCCAGTTTAAATGAGAAGATCAGGTTCTGATAGTTTAACTGGCACAAAAAAATCTCAGCTGATGAAGTCTTTAGCTAATTCTTGACTAAGAACAACCACATTACTTCTATCCATTATACCAGGTATAGATGCAAGTATAAGGAAAAGCAGTTTCCTTAATCTTGTCTCTCATAATATTATTAATACTTATCTGTCAAGTGTATGAATTCAATTCTGCTTCTAAATTCAAGTCAGTGCTTTTCAATTATACTAGTGATAAATTCAGAGCAACTTCAGTGAAATCAATGGAGTTATTTAGCTTTTTTGCTGGAATAAGTGAAACTATAGTCTGACTCAAAGCTTTATACATATACTGCAGACCCAAACAAATCTTACCTCAAAACTCCTCTAACAGGAATGCTGTTAAAAATTTGGGAGTGAAAGCTGTACACAATCTCCAGGCAGGTCTAACCATGCAAGAGATTATGGTTGTAAGAACCCTATTTCTGCTAAAATGGCCTGGGCTGCAAGGGATATATTAATGTCACATTTGGCTCAGAAATAGGCCCTGACATACCCAACATGACAATATTTATTGTGGTGCCAGTAACCCATGGGAATGGCTGCTCTGTTTTTGTCATTCCAATTGGCTCACTTGGCTTTATATGAGGTCCTTTAGACCCCCTGACAGGTTGCCAATGTATTTAGAAAAGTGTGGGCGATCCTGATAGAAACTACATTTCTGTCTGGACTGAGATCTTATCTGCCAAATTTCTGGGTTATATAATCCCTGAAAAGTGGAGTTTATAAAAAGGATCTGAAACAGCTCCTGATATGTAACATCGCTGCTGGGTGCTGCTAATGTATCACAGATCAGAGCATTCACTGGGAAGATCTTAGTGAACACGGAACTGAACAGGGAAAGCAGACACAAGTAAAAGGAAAAACCAAAGCTACTGGGAAGAGCTTTTCCTAGCTGCCAATTATAAACCAAGTTTCAGGAGTAATTTAGACACTTACTGCAAACTTTATGGAACTTAAAATAAACATTACAGGTGGATCTATTAGTGCTGCCTGTAATTAAGGTTACCCAACTCTTTCTACCGTAAAATGATATTTTCAGTTGCCTATAACTTTGAAAATACTTAACCATTCAGGGTGAACTTGCCTATGTTGGTTGTTTGCCTCCAACTGAATGTTTTTCGGAAACTTTCAGTCAAAACAGTGAAGCCATTTCCAAAATGAGGCAAGGGAAACACTCCTTCTTGTTTTGTCATTGTTGTTGTTTTTATTTGGGCACCTATAATTTGTATTACTGTAACACCTATGAGCCCACATATAAGTGACTCCCTCCTTACTGTACCCAGTCCCAGGTGGCCATGTTACTGGCATGTGCCAGACAGAAGCCAGATACTCCCTTCACTTGCATGGCTACTGATCAGAGGAATAACAACCACAGTCTATTCTCTCAGTGGCAGTGGTTAAGCTGGCTGCAGCCTTGTGGCAACTGGGTTGGCAGCAGTAGTGGCTTCCATTCTTCCAGACCCTCAAAATGGGTGCCTGGGTCTGTTCCCCAATCACCCACCACCCACCAATCACCAGCATTACTAATGCTGATGAACAGACAACTAATACCACCTGGAATTCAGGTCCTAAAAGGGCTCTGAAGGATGCAAGAGAGGCCATTTACCAAAATATACAGGACTGCCACTTCCACAAATAATGCTTGCACAAGGTGCACTGGCAGCTAACAGTCACACAAGTAAGGAAGGTTCCTTAGGTTTCCTTGCAGACACTCCTGACAAGGTGGGGGAGGAGGAAGTAGCAAACACAAAGGGATTGGGAAAGTGAAAAGAAAAGAGACTCACTTACATTGGATTAGAATTCACTGGATGAAGAACCACTTGGGGTGCACGGGTTGGTGTCTCAGGCACAACATCTGAAAACAAGAGAGTTCAGTATGAAAACTGGGAGGAAGACACATTGCAGGCAGAGAGCTACCACAAGCTCAGTTTACTCATAGTAAAAGGCCCACTGTTGTCCTGAAGTTTGTCCTACTCTAACCTAACCCAAGTCCCTGGACAACACGCTCCTTACACTCCCTGAGGAGCAGCCCCAATTGAGTCTGCAGAATCACACATGAATAATGGGGTGGAGAATCCGGCCAGGTGACTTTTGCTGCTCTGTTTCAAAGCTGGCCCCTTGAGGCAGCACAGGGTAAAAGTCCAGTATGGGCTGCACTGGGCCATAGCTGGCAGCAAACTTGATCCACAAAGACCAAGGCAGCTGGCACTGTGAGAGTGTGTGGGAGACATGAGGATGAACACAAGACCCTGAGAAACTGCTTCTAGCTCCTTTAGTTCAGGTATTGCAAGCAAATGAGGTATTGCTTTAGCCAGCATAGGCTGCCCTGGTTTAATATGATGTTCACCTTTCACCATCACAGCCATAGACAAGACACAGATGTTCAAACAGTGCATAGCACCTGCTTCTGCTGCCATGTCTTGCCCATGGCAAGTTTCAGCTCATCTCCTCTGGCTGGAGAATGGCTCACAGCCTCTCATCTTGAAAGTCATCTCTATGCTTCTCTCTATGCCAAATTGCTCAGCTGCCAAGCAGCACCTGGGAATGGATTTAACCTTAAAAAAACCCTTTTTCTCATCTCCATGGTTCCCCAAACTTCCTTCCATGGATCCTAGATGTGGCCAAGGATAAACCCTCCCACTCTACAAACACCTCAGTCCTCTCAAATATAGCTATAAGGCATTTTCCTTTCTCTCCCTCAACTAGAAAATCTCACCTCCCCAGAGAAATGTCCCGTCTTTAAGGACAACCTCAGAAAAAACTACTAGACAGAGTACAAGAAAGACACTGCAAACAATTGGGTAAATTAAATTCTATATAATGAGATTGACTTGAGAGCTAAAAACCAGCCCACAACCTAAGCATCACTTGCAACCTACAGGCCTATCTTGAAGGACCCAAACAATACACAGGCTATTCAGCTCATCTTGTGCACAAGGGGGAATTTCATCCTAAATGATTTAGTTAAACCATTATAGGAAGAGTTTTCCATAAACCCTTCCCCTCAAAAGTCAGCAGAGAGAAGATCCCACCTACTACCCCATCAACCCCAGGTGCACATGGTTTTCATTAGGCTAAATCAAAAAGTAGTAACTGCGTTCACTACTATATGGCACATGATTATGATCCCTTTGAAGTGACTTACCTGGGAAAATGAACTGTTGCTTGTATTTGTAGTAATGGGAAGCTGGAAAGGGAAAAGAAAGAAGCTGGAAGGTGAGCACTAATATCAGACCTGTATAAACAGATGTGTTAAACAGGCTTTAAGCCCTGCAAACCTCCTTGTCTCACATTACAGAGATTTTAGGCTCCCTTTGTCCAGGGAACAAGAGACTGGAAACAAGAGACTGGAATAAGCATCTAACCCTGCCATCCCACAGGCCATGAATCCTCCTCATGAATAACTCTGTCCTAGTTGGTCTAATAAAAGGTAAAAAGGTATCATCTCTGAACCAAGAGTTCTACAGTTTTGCATTTCTCTCTCAAAGATATTTTCTTTTCTAAAGACCCAAGGAGGCATCAAATGATTATGTTATACATAATACACAGTCTATATCAGTCACTCCCTCCTTCCCTCTTCTGGTAATTATCCCGAAAGCTCTTCAGGACAGGGTGTGTATACTTTGGGCCTGAACAAAGGCAACGTCTATTGATGGCACACAACAAAAGTAACAATCATTATAGCAAATAGGTCAGCAGGCCAGCACCCATCTATATGGCTGAGATGTGATAAGTGATAAGTTGAGGCTTTTCAAAGAGGCAGAACACACACTGTAACCTCCTGTGAGTAGAAAGTATAACTGCAGTGGGATCAGGACAGTTATTACAACAGGGTACAGCATCAACCCCACCCTATATTGAAGCTGATGAGCACAGGCCAAAAATTAAGACAGGCAGCAAAGCTCCTGGGAGCTGCTCTTACTAGGATTACTGAAGCCAACAGAGCTATGCTGATTTGCACCTGCTAAGATTCGGCTCTGTCATTAAATTTTAAGCTCACATCTCACAGCTGTGATTGTCTCTCAGGTTTATGACAGAAACTGCTTTCCTCTGAATGGGGATCAACCTGGAATCACAGAGGAGAAAGAGCTGCATTTCAAGCCTCCCTGCCCCTCTCTAAAACCTCTGCAGAAGGCTGAAATCCAAAAGATCCTCAGTGCAATGAGGGTGGGATGAAGTGCCTGCTCTAAAGAAAGCACTGCATGGTATCACTTAACTTGTATTTGCCATAACAGTCAACCACATTCAAGCAGAAAGTGCCCCTTGCTTTGAGTTTCTATGCAGGGAACAACTGAGAGCTTGATGTTTCTTAGCTAGGTCTCTCCCTTCTTTGTAAGAACAGTGAGAACAGCCTGCCATGGAGATCCAGAGTTCATGCTGTAAATGCCAGACAATTTGTCTAATTAACTCATTGGAAGGAACTTAGATGATTCAATCATGGTGACTCATGCATCTTACCCTTTTCGGAGGTTGGGCACAGCCAGGCTCCTATCCCACACAGCAAGCATGCAGCGGTGCAAGCAAACACATTCTGGGAAGCAGTTTGGGGATGCAAGACCCTGTTGGTCTTAGCTGGCCAGAGGGGCAAGCACTAAAAACAAGATTTTTAATGAAGCCTCACCTTCTGATCCTTGGGGGAACAAGGCCAGTACCAAAGGGAAGGGGTAGCCACATGAAAAATCCATTTCCAGAAGGGGAGGCAATGAGATGAGGGCGTGGGATAACCAAAGCTAACACAGCTGCTTGGTTAGCCCCAGCTTTATTCCTTTGAGAGCACCCTATACCCAATCCATAAAGCTTCTCCTTGATAAGGAAGCAGCTGTATGATTCAAGGCATATGCTGGTAAGCTCCCATCTAGGTTTCAATGAAGGATTACATTTGCTCCAAGTGGGTAGATATGGCCCGGACAGAGAACACACTTGCACCCGTGTAAACAGACTTTTCACAGGTGCCAAGAAGGAATAGCGTAGCTGTTCTCAAATTGTAGGTTGTGACCCCAAATGGGGTTGCAACATCCATGGATGGGGTAGCAGGGGTGGGGGGCTGTGGGTTGGGAGTGAGGGGCCGTGCTGAGGAAACGTTTGGGAAGCACTGGAGTAGCAAAACCTACAACAAGGTGTAGAATTAGCTCTGAAAGAACCAGGGGTGAAACTCCACCGAAGTAGGTATTATCCATCTGCAGTTTATCCCAGGGTAGCAGTTCACTCGAAGTAAACAAGCTATTTACCTGTTCACCTGCCACCTAGTAACAGGGTTTTGTAATAGCCATTTACTGTGTGCTTATCTGTCTGGTCCAAAACCCAGCATGTGAATGTGTTCTCTGTCCAGACCCTAAGTAAGTACAGCTAGATGGTATTAACCTTAAATGTCCTATGAGATAACAACACTTTTCTGGCTTTTTACATCCAAAGACATCAAAGCACTTAACAAGAGGAACAGTACTATCTTCACAATATAGATGGGAAGACTGAGGCAGAAGAGTGAAGTCACCTGCCTGAATCACATAGCAAGTCAGTGAGAAAACTGCTAAGAACACCCAAATTTCCCAGCTACAGTCCTACTTTCCCTTGTCTCCATGAATTTAACATACTGCAAAGAACCATTTGTGGTTTCTTGGTAGCTAACATTTATCCCAGAAGGACACTTCAAGGTGTGCAGTCACCTCCCACTTACTGAGCACTAGGACTTGATTAAAGCCACTGAAGAACTCTATTAAAAGCCACAGAGCCAGAGGTAAACCAGGGTCCTTTGTACCTAGAGGAAATTGCTTCAGCCCAGGAACTCAAGCAGGAGCCTCCACACTGGGTGTAGTCAGTTTATCTCTCCCACACCCCTGTCTTGCCCAACACTTTTGGTTTCTCACTTTAAGACTGCATGTATGGTCTGGAGGGACTGAGCCTGGGACTAGGTGTTAAATCTCCATTCTGCAGATGGCTCCTTAAGCAAATGTAGCTGCTTCTAGCTGGCTGTTCAATGTTTTTTCCTCAGTTTCCCCATCTGCACAACCAGGGATAAATTAAATGGAGTATGCTTATCTCACTGGGCAGTCAGGAAACTTAATTCAATTATTAAACTTCACACACACATGCACATAATCTAAAAATGCTGCCCAGCCATTTCATTGGCATTCAGTGCAAAACGAGCCACTAATGGGCTTTTTATGAAATTCAGAAGTTTTGATTTATCTGCTTTAGACCAGAGAAATTCATTAGGGTGTGAGATATGTGACTACTATATTAGATAAGTTCCACAATTCAGTGTGTTTCCTTAGTCACTCCTTCCCTAAGCAAGTCTCTACAAGACCACCAGCCTACCATGTGGTTCCCAGAAGTACTTTAAATGTCTTCACTGCTTCCTTCGGTCGTCTGTTCACAAGGCTCTCCAACCACACGTGAATTTCCTGTGAGGTGTGATCCACAGACTGTGTGGAGGAGGAAACTCAGACAGCTTGGAGATGAGAGATTTCTGCTGCTGCCAACAGGTGGGTCTGCCTTGCCCACCTTCCCTCTTTGGTGAGCATGACCACCCTGATGCTATCACCCCATCTCTCGTTCCTTAAAGACCATTCAAGATGAGGGGGCAGAATCAAAGGGAACACATCAAAAACAGTGAGGCTGAAGGGGTAAGGCCTGGTTTCTTTACAAAAGCCCTCCCCATCCTCTTCCATACCATGGCCTGATTTTACATAGCCATAAAGGAAACAAAGGTGCTCCTCTATTCATGACCGTCCAGCTGAGGCTCAAAAGCCATCAACCAGTCTTCCAGGCCACTGGATTAGTTACAGCCCAAGCTGAATGCAAGTAAAAGCCTACAATGAAGTGAAAGCCATTGCTGGAGGGCTGTTTAGTTCTCTTAAACAAACAGATCACCATTGCCCTTGCTTAACAGGTTTCCATGATGCCAGAATTGCTATGGACAAACACACTGATATCACCCAAGTGGACAAACATTGATTGGGCCATGGAGTCTAAACTACATGAAAGATGAGAGGGGATAGGTAGAATTTCAGTCCCTAGAGATGATGCTCCTCATGATCTAGGAACTGGGCCAGGCTGTGGTGTCTAGCTAATAGCTAACTTCTTCTGGAGTTGGCCAACTTTTACATCAGAATCCAAGCTTTCATTAAAAGCAAGCAAACAAACGAACAAAAAAAAAAAACCAAGCCAAACAAACCCCCAAACATCTTGCCTTTATGGATGTAAAGAAAATCATCAAAATGGGAATGAGCATAAGAATATAAGAACTGCCATTTACTGGGTCAGTCCATAAGTCCACCTTGTCCAGTATCCTGTGTCTCAGCGTGGCAGAGAACGGATGCCAAAAGGGAGAGTCAACTGGATATGACCAGGGCTTTTTCCACTGTTCCTCTCTCACTTGCAGTCTCCAGCACTTAAGGTCTACAAAGTTCTGCTTCAGAGGCTGTTTCCCTAACACCCATGCTCAGTAGCTACTGATTCACTTTTCCTTCAAGAACTTGTCCAGTTCCTTTTTGAATCTCTAGGTTGTCAGCTTCTACAATTTCTGGTGGCAATGAGTTTTTTTAATTACATGTTGTGTGAAAAAACTTATTTTTGTTAGTTTTAAACTTACTACCTACTAGTTTCATCTTGTGACCCTTAGTTCTTGCATTGTGAGAGCAAATAATAAATCCCTATTTACTTTCTCTTTGCCATTTAGTAGTTTGTAAACCCTTATATGTCCACCCTCAAGTGTCTCTTTTCTTAACTGAATTGGCCTAGCCTCTTTAGTCTTTCCTCATGTAGAAGCCCCTTCATACTCCTTTTCATCCTTATTGCCCTTCTCTGTATCTTCTCTACTTCTAAATTCTTTCTGAGGTGTGAGAACCACAACTGAGTACAGTATTTAAAGTATGGATGCAGCATGGATTTATAAAGGGGCATAATGATACTTTCAGTTTTGTTTACAATCCCCTTCTTAATAATCCCTAACATTTTGTTTGCCTTTTTGACAGCTGCTAAGCGCAGAGCTGATGTTCTTAGCAAACTGTCCACAATAACTCCCAGATCTCTTGCCTGTGTGGTAACAGCTAAAGTAGAACCCATCACAGTGTAGCTATAGAATCATAGATCATGGAAAGTAAGGGCTGGCAGGGACCTCAAAAGATCATTGAGTCCAAATCATTGAGCCCCTGCTCTGGGCAGGAATACTGCTGAGACTCAGTGACTCAATAGACTCAAATAATCCCAGCAAGGTGTCTGTCCAGTCTCCTCCTGAAGACTTCCAAAGGTTGGGGACTGTACCACGTCCTTGGGAAGTATATTCCAGATTCTGGTCACCCTTACTATAAAGAAGTAAACCTGAAACCATCCTCTAACAGTTTATGGCCATTGCTCCTTGTCCTCTTCCTGGGGAGCCCTAGTGAACAGCTTTTCTCCCAGCTCCCGATATTCACCCCTTACATGCTTATAGATGGCCACCAAGTCCCCCCTCAGTCTTCTCTTCCCCAGGCCGAACAGTCCCAGATCCTTTGGTCTTTCCCCATAAGGTCTGTCCTCCAGGCCCTTATAAATCCTTGTGGGTCTTCTCTGGACCCTTTCAAGATTCTCTATGCTTTTTTGGAAGTGTGGCGCCCAGAACTGGACGCAGTACTCCAGCTGGGGTCTCACCAGCACTGAGTAGAGAAGAAATACCACTTCTTTAGCCCTGCTCATGACACATCGGTTAATGCATCCCGGTATTCTATTGGCTCTATTAACTACAGTGTCACACTGGAAGCTCATATATAGTTTGGGTTATTATTGCCCAGGTACATCACTTTACACAGTTAATTGCACCTGCCAGTTAGATGCCCATCAGCTCAATCATGCCAAATCTTTCTGTAGTTCTTTACAGTCCGCACTGGTGTTTAGCACTTTGAATAATTTGTGTAATCAACAAATTTGGTCACCTTGCTACTCACCCCCTTTCCCAGATCATTTATGAATATGTTAAATAGCACTGGTCCCAACACAGATCCCTGGGAGCCCTGCTGCTTGCTTCTTTCCATCCGAAAAACTGACCATTTATACTCACTCTTTGCAAGTAGACACTGCCTTTAATCCTATGACTATCTAACTTAGTTAAGAGACTCTCATGGGGGACCTTGTTAAAGGCTTTTTGGAAGTCCAAATATACTATGTCAACTGGATCACCCTGATCTACCTGCTTACTGACACCCTCAAACTTACTCTAGTAAGTTGGTGGGGCATGATTTCCCTTTGACAAAGCCATGTTGATTCCTCCCCAGTAAGTCTCATTCATGCATGTGCCAAATACTTATTTTTTTATTATTGTTTCTACCAGTTTTCCAGGAACAAAAGTTAGGCTCGCTGGCCTGTAGTTCCTTGTATCCCCTTTAGAGCCCTTTTAAAATATGGGAGTCACACTGGCAACCTTCCAGGCCTCTGCTGCTGTTTTGAGTGATAGGTTGCATATTACAGTTAGGAGTTCAGCAATTTCCAATCTAAGCTCCTTCAGGACCCTAGGGCGAATGCCATCAGGTTCTGGTGATTTGCTACTGTTTAGTTTATCAATTTCTTCTACAACCTCATGTACTGAAGCTTTAATTTGAGTCAGTTCCACTGACTTATCCCTAGAGAGGAGAGGATCTGGTGATGGAGTTTCCCCAACATTTTCCACAGTGAAGACAGATGAAAAGAATGCATTTAGTTGGCAATGGCCCTGTCATCCTTTCATGACCCTTTTACACCCTGATCATCCAAAGGCCTGACTCCTTGGCAGGTCTTTGGCTTCTACCGAAGAAACATAATAAGCACAAACATAATTCATGCAACCCAAAAGAATAATTCAGATATGAGGGGAAATGGCCTCTATCCATGTAAAAGAGAAGTTAACTCTGGTATTTAACAGCAAAAATACAGATATCAATACCGCTAGCCATTTCACTAAAAGCACAGGTGGTGGGGACAGGCGCACAGGAAAAAGGAACCATTATATCCATGGAGGGATCTACCATGCTCGAGTACAGCTAAGATACCTTGAGTCAAGCAGGGGAGGTTGGTGGAGGAAGTCTAGATTTTTCTGAATGTGCCCTGTACATCTTGCAGTTAAGTTAAGAGCGTTGCCCTCCAGGCAGGTGCCTTCCCCTGGAACAAAACTTCACTGAACTTTCTGCTGTACTGCAGGTATTTGTGCATCTCAAAGGAACACTGGAGGGAGAACTGAAGCGGGGCAAGGTGGTAGACAGATTGGACTAATTGATATTTAGTCCAGAAGGAGCCATTCTGATCATCTAATCTGAAGGGCTGGGTCAGGTCTTCTGACTCGTGCTATACAGGAACCCTCCTGTATAGCATGAGTCAGAGGACCTGACCCAGCCCTTCATGGAGGGATTCCCCCACAGACATGGAACTTGGCCCGCTTTGTGTGATTAAAGGATAACTACCCTAGGTACAGAGATTTTTATGAAAAGCTCCCACAGCACCTCACCCAGGAACACAAGCAAGGTACCTGGCAAGTTGAATTGCTTCTGCTGCCGCGTACATTGTGGAGAGGGGTGGAGGGGAGACGGTGGAGTTGCACTAGGCGGTAACGGTGGGGCTGGCGAGGAGGGCGTGGAGGAGGTCGTTGAGGAGGGATTGCTGCTGGAGTCTGGCTGGTAGGGCACTGGAATGTGGTCCTGCAGGCACAAGGTGGGCAAGGGAAGAGGAGGAAGGAAAGAAAACACAAGACAATGAGAACAGTGTCGGTCGGCTGATTTCACTCTGCTCCACCCAAGGATATAGTGCTCACTGCCTCCAGCAAAGCAAGTGACCCTTGCACACAAGCTGAGCTAACATGGCTGCCTCTCCTCTCTTATACAGCCTCTCCCACTCACCTGCCAAAGCCCAGCTGATGCTGGCTTACAGAGTTAGGCAAGAACACAGGGATCATCCCAGCTCCTCCAGATTCCTCTTTGCAATGAATCTAGGGACACCAAACACGGTAAAAACGACATTTGTTCCTCCATGTGTAGCATCCTGTACAGGGCAGCGTTTCAGGTTTCTGAGCCCTCCAACTCCTGGCTTCTGCTAGTGAAGCTGGAGAGACTCAAACCCTGTGGGCCCACATTTTCAAAAGCAAGTAGTGATGCAGCTAAGCCACCCTGCTTTGGAAATCAGACCTTTTTAAAAACATGTCTGTGCTGGCCTTCAAAAATGAAGGCATCAAGTATACTTGGTCACCTTTGAAAGTCATGGTGATGATGCCTGAATCTGGAGTTTTGGGTAAGTGCAGTTTGACTTTCAGGGATGCTGAGCACCTAGAAGCCTCCACTTAATTCAAAAGCAGTTGGGGATACTCAGCATTTCTGGAATCAAGACAGGTACTTAGGCACCTGGTAGAGGCTGCAAGTGCCCAACTGTGGGCATTAAGCTTGTAAGCACTACCCAACATTTTCAATCTTGTCTTGACCTCCTAGAAAGAGTCCCAAGAGTGCTTTCCACTCCCTGCCCTTCCATTTATCCTTCTTCATGGGCCATTTAATTCCCTTTCATTTAAGGACAAGGGAAGCCAAAACACACTGTTACATTAAAACACTGAACATTCATCATGGGGCTCCATGGGATAGACTGCACGCTAGCCAGGCCTCCCCTCTCAGCACTGGAAGAGGTGGAGCTCCATAGTAGAGTATTTGACTGCAGAACAAGAGAGTCCCCAGAGCAAAACTTGGCATCATCAGCTGTCACCTTTTAAGAGCTTTCCTCCACTTTAAATCCCAAAGCTCAGTGGTTAAAGCCCTCTCCTGAATCATAGGTATAAACTATCCTGCTTCCTTCTCTTCCCTTCCTAGTATAGACTGCCCTGCGCAGAACAGTGGTTGCTTTCTTAGGGGCTCTTTGACCAGGAAGGAATGGTTGACCACAATGCAGGCAGGGAGAGGCTAGTATCAAGGGTATGGGAAGTATCTGTGTAGAATTTTTATATCAATACATTTTATATTCAACTCCAAACTACACGTACCTATTGCCAGGTGTAAAGGATTAAAGAACTTGCAGCTAAACTCACAGCCAGCAGAAGGGGTTTGAAACACAGCATGACTAGAAATAAGGAATTCATTCTCTGTCCCTCCACCACTACATGCAAACATGGATTAATAATGGCAAACACGAGAAACTACTAATGATCGCATCCATACTAGCATGGGCATTGCATGATCTGCCCTGAAAAGACTCTAAAGCTCATTCTGTCCATATACCCTATGATTTGCACAGGAAAACCGGAAACCAACATTTTCAAATTTGCAAGCAATTTTGCTCCTCACATATTGTCACAGATCCACAGGCAGAAACAGTCGAGAGGATTCTCCAGCTCCCCTGAAGGAAGGTGAGTGGGAGGCTGCATGAAACGTTCTGGAGCCAGTGACCATTCGGGGGTGGTGAGAGGGGGCTTCCTTTGAAGGGGA